AGGTCTGTGTATGTTCAGTATCCCTGCCTCTTACCAGATTTATTGACCCATAAAAAAAATAAATGAGTTTAATTGAGCCTTTATTCTCAAAACTGTCTCCGTGTCTTCTCTAGTTTTTTTCCTTCATACATCCTCACACATGTTCCCAAAAAAAAAGAAAAAACTCATATAGTGTAGTACACACAAATCACATAAAAAATATTTGCATTAAATATGCTCACATGAATATGTGACAACATATACATTTAACATTACGTACCTGTGCACCTTCTCTGTCCCCTTGTTGTGTGTGCACCCTTGCCAAAAACACTAATTTCCAATCGCACATCAATCCACAACAGCATGGGGCTCCAAAGATGCTCCTGTAAATCTTGCCAGTCTCCTCAAACAAATTTTTTATATGAAACAAAAATAAAATGATTGAGTAATATGCTCACACCAATAATTATATATATTTGTGCTCAAATTAGTGCAACAATTAGAGCAAAACAGACTTTTCCTTGTTCCCTCCCATCAATGTGATCCTTCCCCCATGCACAAACACCTTAGCAGACTTTCCCACTAAGACACAGGGTAGGCAGGCAGGCAGATCACTTCCCCATGGTAGCTACCATGGGGAAGTGTTTTTTTTTTTGCTTTACTCTGTGACATACGGGGGTTGATTTGCTAAAATGCAAGTGCAAAATCTGGTGCAGCTGTTCCTGGTAACCAATCAGCTTCTAATTCAGCTTGTTCAATTAAGCTTTGCTAGAAAAAAAACCCTAGAAGCTGATTGTTTTTTTATGCAGAACTGCACTGGATTTTGCACTCACCAGCTTTAGTAAATCAACCTCACTGTATGAAAGGCATAAATACATGAGACAATTGCTTTTAATTGCATCAGTATTTAAGAGGAATAACGTTTCAAGAGGTTGTAGCAGTACCAACAAATTTGGTCATGTCCGTCCCATCATGCTTCACAATTGCTGGCTTTAACAGCATGGCTGTTGAAGCCTAAATTCTGATAGGCAAGGAAATCAGCTTCTAGTGGTTTTTTTCTAGCAAATCTTAATTGGCAATAGCCAAATCTATGATTTACACAATGTTAAAAATGTCTACCTTTCGCAAGGTCTACCATTAGACATGGAAGGCATGTCCTGGGGCTTTCACCCTAGGAGGTCCTCTATGGGGCAAATCCTCTTCTTCCTACACCTGGGTCTAGACCAGGGTTTAGATTTTTGTCAAAGCCAGGTTTCTGTCAAATTTCAGAGACCATTTGCCACTCATTGCTTGGTTAACGCCATGTAACTCACCCTATTTGGTCCTGTGAGTTTGTGGAACTTTCAAAATTGCCATATTAACCAATTAGTGACATCCTCTCTTTACTCTCACCCACAAGGTGATATTCCTTTAGTCTTCCCCTCTCTGGTGGCCTTGGGTTGTTGGGAACCCTTTTTTGGTTTTACATAGGGATGAGGTTGTGTTGAGGCCTAGGACTTTTTTTGTGATGCAGGTAGGTTCTTCCTTTCTCCTTAACCAGGACATCGTTCTGTCTGTCTGTCCGTCCAGTTCCAGATGTCTAAAAGAAAATTTTCTCTGTTATCTGGATGTGGTTGTGTATTGAGAGTCTCTCAGTCACTGCAGCTTTTAGAAAGACTTCATCCCGGATGGACCCAGTAAGGGTGCTTCAGTTTCATGTTCCACCAGTTCTAGGGGACTTAGGCAGACTATCATTCAAGTTTATAGACTCAGAGATTGGGTTCCACATGTCTCTCTCAAGGCACACTTTACCAGATCTGTGATTCTTTAGTGGACTTTTTGGCATCAGGCAACTGTTTCTCAGATTCGATAGGGCTGCCACATGGTCATCTGTCCACATATTCTCCAATCTTTATCAGGTGAATGTTCAGGCCTCTTCTGATGCCAGGTTTGAGGGTAAAGTCATTCAGGCAGCTCCTTCAGCTGCAAGCAGTACCCTGTTCTGTGGTTTTTTCTTGGGCCACTTAGTTTATTTGCTGTATTTCCCATAATTAAGTTAGACTTCTTTTGGACATCCTGATTGTGAATTACTTCTTATGTCTCTCATTGGACAAGAAAGAAAATTGAATCTTGTACTCATTGTAAAATCCATTTCTTGGCATTAAATAGTGGAACACTGGTTCTACCCCTCTGTGTTTATTATCATGTTCTCAGGTTCTGCTTTGCTATAAAACTGAAGCATGCTGGTAGTAGGAGGGTTAATCCTGGGTTGTCCTACAGTTTTATGTTTGCCTGTGTCCAGTGCTTCTGTAGGCAGCAGTATAACTGTAACGTGAATTACCCTCAGTGGCCACCAATCTAAGGATTTTACAAAGTACAAAAGTCATATTTTACTCACTGAAGATGGCTGTCTTTCAAAGTATGCTAATCAGACTGCTTTCCTGTTAGACATTTTATTTTCAGCGATACTATATATGAGACCTTTATATGTTATGCGTGGTGCTTCTAATTTCTTCACCCCAGTGACTGCAGAATTCTAAGAAGAGCAATGATGAATCAAATATAATCTAGATTAATACACCTCACATAAACCATTTTTTTTTTTTGGGGGGGGGGGGGGGGCAGGATTTCTTTACCAACAACTTATGTATGACAAGTATGGCGATATGCTATGCATCTCTACATTTCCTTACCACTTAGGCTGCCACCTGCAGAGATTGATGTTTCTATTCTGCAAACCAGTCACAGTGTAACATGTCTATGTATTTAGATACTAGTCACTTCCCTCATACTGAAGTATGTGTGCGCATTATGGCACCATGCAGGAGTGAATATAGATTTTCAATACCCAGGAAATATATGTACTTGCATATACATGTTTGTTAATATACCTATAATTTACTGTACATATGAACAGACTAACTCATCTTTGTACAGGCTTTTCTTGCCGTGTATGTATGCACATGTAGGAAGAAGTTAGTTTACCTCCTGCAAGCCCCATCAGGGTCAGCCTACTTATGTATTACTTTTGTTTGACACTGCATCCCATCAAATGAATCTAAATATGCCTTTCCAAGAACGTGGTATCAGTATCCTATTACTGCAGACTAAATGTCAGTTTCTAGTTCTTCCCTTTGTTTTTTGGGGTTTTTTTTTATGTGACAGGATTTACTGTAAAGAGCGATCTTAAAAAGCTTTCCTTCAGCCACTGATTTAGCACATGGGGTTAGTAGCAACTAGTTAGCTTTTATTTCATGTTCCATGCAGCTGTAGAAAAGTCTCAGCTGGGATCTCTTGTGTTTCCTCCATAGCCAATTAATTTTAAAGTTAATTGTCAATGTGTAATGTAATTGGGTAATGCTAACCTTTGATATAAGTAACCTTTTTGTGCCTAGTAATAGATGCATTTAGATTTTTTCAAAAGCTGTGCACAAAAAGCACCAGCAGCTTGCAACTCCATGTAGTTATTAGGAGTCTGACACCACCCCAGCTTGGCTCTGCAATTCCAAAATCTCACAGTTTTTTCCTATGTGTGGTAGGGCACATAGGGTGATTTCACATTCTGCCAGATTCTGTGAGCATGTGATTTGTGCAAACACAAAATAAAACAGATCACTCTGATTCCTCTTGTATTGTAACTGTACTGTCTCCCTCCATTTTGTAAAGTGCTATGCAACGTGTTGGCACTATAAAAATCCTGTAAAATAATAATACATGGGTGCTTCTAAGAGCATCAGTTGTCACAAATCAAGATTAAGCTTGCTCATCTATAGCAGTTGTAGGCTCAACCCCATATGGTGCACTACGGTGAAAGCACTTGATAGTTATATATCTCATTGTTATCACATCTAGAAAAGAGTATCCACATAATTAAATCGCACTTTAACAGCAGAATAATGTGGTAATTTGATTATGCCATGTGGAAACACTTAGAAAAGCATTTCCCTATGTCTGCAAGTTACCCTTGATGGGAGAACTTTTAATCAGCATTGCGACACTGTGAAGATTTCCTAAATGTTGATAACAACAAGATCAGTACCTATTAATACTACCTATTATTTAGGTTGTGCACTGTATGCTGTGTCTCCCCCTACCTGCTTTAGGAGAGCAGGTTTCAATTTGATTTGTGAGACTATTATTTACAATTGAAGCTTTTGTGTTTATGTGTATATATGTGTGTGTGTGTATATATATATATATATATATATATGTGTGTGTGTGTGTGTATATATTATATATATATATATATATATATATATATATATATATATATACACATACACACACCAAATAACCCCATTATGAGGTTTTGTAGACAGAGGCCGTTTTAGAGGATCGTTACTTATATAGATAGCTCATCATCACTTGCTGTAAAGGATATATATTCCCCTCCTTGACACAGAGGTAAAAAAAAAAAATGGACACCAGTATGCAGAGGACATGCGACAGCAGCAAACACACAAAAAAAAAAGACAGTGCACACTACACAGGTGCTAGATTTCTGTATAGCCTGCAGCTAAATGAGAATTAGACCCTGCCTGCTGATAGTGACATAACAAATGAATATGGCGGCTCCTGCACAATTTAATCCTTTCAATCAAGCCAAAGGCTAAATTGGCTAACCCATACTGTTATAGCACTTGATAAAGGTTATATCTTGACAGGTTTGCTCTAGGTGTTGTTTTGGAAAGTTTTATAATTTTGGAGGAAATGATCCAAAGATATCCCAGGAACAAATTTTGTAGATAAAACACAGCTAAAGAGGTAAGAGCTTATGTCAATTAGCAAAGGGAGCATTCTTAGTTTTTAGATGCTTTTGAGCTGCTTGTGACCTTCTTTTGATTTCCTTCAGACATGTTTTGAGATTCTTTTACATTGCCAATTGGATGAAAGTAGTTCTAATGCAAGCAAATGCCAGTGTATTCAAGCCCTTATGGATTGTTTGATGATGCTGCTGCTATCCTAAAGCAATTTTAATCCAATGCATTATTTATAAGCCTCTTCAGCATCTAAAATATATATATGTCAATGTTATTTTGAAGCTGCCTGTGCAAATCAACGTCCTGACCTTTTTGGATGTGCCATTGCTCAAGTTGGTGTTATGGACATGCTGAAGTTCCACAAGTTTACGATCGGTCATGCTTGGACTACAGACTATGGTTGCTCAGACAAAGAGGACCAGTTTGAGTGGCTGTACAAGTAAGTTTTCTATTCTGTCTATAATTATCTATTTACTTTATTAGAGTAGAATTTCAGCCAAAATATTTTAGGTTACAGCCTTTGTCAGAATGTATTGCTTTTTGTGTCCCCACTGGATAGATCTCCTTGCTGTTTTGTCCACAAAGTGTGGACAACAACAACTTGCCATTGGTGTCCACACACCAGGATGTAAGTGGAAAGCTCAACTGTTGGGCTGTGGAAGAATTGATGTACCACAGTCTTGAAGTGGCTGTCAGCAGATTTGGCTTAAAGAAATGACAATCTGTCAGTGGGTGGACTGCAACCTATACAAGCAGCCCCTGACCAAACTAATCACAGAGAACGCACTTTGTCAAGTGATCGCATTTGTTTTCCTGAGATAGGCCAGGGGTGTCTGCTCCATACATAAACATACACTCAGCCAGTATGAATCTACATGGCTAAGCCACAGTGATGAACAAAGTGGAACCTAAGACAAAATCTGTTCCTTGTGGTATAATGATTTCTGGCATAAAGTCCACACAAGACAAAATTAAAAGTAAAAAAAATTTTATTTTATGTGAAAGAAAATGTAGACTTATTCCATAATATAATAATCATAGAACCATATATGTTGTATTTCTGATTTTTCAGTTGATTAGTTTTGGCTTGTAGGAAAGCTTTGTTTTCAAAGGAGCACATTTCTGTTTGTCATTTAATTATTTTAGCAGAACAAGTAGCAATTATTATAGGAAATAGTAATCTGATAGTGGTGTATGCTGAACTCTGTGTATGGCAAGAAATGAAATGATAATGTGCGCGGATGCATGGATTGGGTTTGAAATCCTATACTGTAAGCACTTATTGATTTGATTTAATGGTATACAATAGCACTGATACAGCAGGAAAGAATGCTACTATGCAGGAAGGAAAGTGATGTTTTGATAGTCCATGCATTTGTAATGTTGCTGTCTTCATTTTAGATCCTTGATGGTAATTTGGGTAGACTGATTTGGACGGGCACTATGAAAATGATTACTGTTTTGCAGCCTAACAAGAGAAATCTTTAGTGTAGAAATATTCAGTTTCAGAGTAGTACTGAGTGTGGCTTCTTTGTTGCTAATAATTTTTGTGTTTGGGTATAGTATAAATGTTATTTGATGGTATGCTAACCAAGCTTAGCTTCAATATGTCACTGCATTCAATATGTCACTGCATACTTGGAGGCTTCTGAAGCTGCACCAGAAGACCTGTGGCTATGGCATTATCATGCCACTACAAAAGGGGGTAGATCTTTGTGTGTGTGTTATATCACTTAATCTTGTCTCTTGAACACAGCTTGTGTTGATACTTGTTTTTAGGACTGGTTCTCTTCATTTTACGGAAGATGTAAAGTGATTGTAAACCTGTATAATTTTTTTTCTAAATAACAAATATGTCATACTTACCTGCTTTGTGCAATGGCTTTGCCATGAGCAGCATCACTCCCCCACGTCTCGGCTCCTGGCTCGTCCCCCAGACAAGTGCCTACCATAGCCCGCTTGCTATGGGGGCACTCGTGTGGGCTCTTTCCTGAGCCAGCTGTGTGTGTCCATAGGCAAGCACACAACACTGCTCAGCACCGCTCCCTCCTCACTGGCTGTGATTGACTGTCTCTGAGCCTGTGAGGAAGATGAAAGCTGAGAGAGTTGCTGCTCTTGTGCAGAGAGCTGGATGAAGATTGAGCTCAGGTTGGTATATGAGGGGAAGGAGAGTCTGTACTCAGAGAGAATGCAAGGTAAAAAAAAAAAAAGTTTCAACCTTTAGAACTACTTTAAACTCACTGACCTGTAGTTGCCTGCTTTTTCCTTACCATTCTTCCTGTGGATAGGTACAATAATAACCATCTGCCAGTCATGAATAACTTTTCCAGTTAGAAGAGATTGATAAAAGATCAGTTAATGGTCCCACAACTACTTCTTGAAGTTCTCTTGGAACTCTGGAATGATATCATGAAGCCACATTTGCTTCTAGAAACTCTGAAGATGAACCTTCACTTTGAGAACCAATATGATCCCCCAGCTTGTATTTGTGCCCTGTAATTCTGAAAAGACTCAGCAAATGCTCTACTTCATTCAGGTCTCCCTCAACATAATTATTGTTCCCAGTTTTCATTTTTGCGATTGTACAGTATCTTTTCTTCCTGTCTCTGATATACGTAAAATGGATTTTGTCTCCTTCCTTAACACATTTATCCTTTTCCTTCTCTTTCTGTGCTTTAGAAGAATCGATAACATGTTTGCCCCCTTTTTGTCTTTTTTTCTCTATCAGCTGCACTTTCTGTTTCCTTGTTTCTCCTATATGCTGATTTCTTTCTCCTTTACTAATTTAGTTACCTCTGTAGAAAGCCATTATGGTTTTTCTCTTCTGTTTACTTTTACTAATTTACCTGGCATATAATCTAGTTGCCACCATGATGGTAGATTTTATTGGTGCCCACTGACTGCTACCATTTTACTCCAGCCTTTTAATTTTCTTTTTTAGAAATATACCCTTTTCAGCTAAATTTCTCTTTATGAAATATAAAACTTTTGTTTTTGTATATGCTTTTTCAGTTTTTGATCTAATATCAAATGAAGACTTTGGCGATTACTAGAATCCTCATTTCCTCCCACTTTAACATAGACAGTCGATACCCATTTGTCAGTACCAGGTTTAGAATATGATCTCCTCAGATTGAGCTTTTTAATAACCATTTTAGAGAATGTGTATATGTGTATATGTATATATATATATATATATATATATATGTGTGTTTTGCTTTTCTATTTTAAACTGAATGAGTTTTGCAAGGTAAGGGTTCACATATACTTTATCGTTCGTTTTGTTCTCTTCTTGACAAAATGGTAACTCCACCTCACCTCTTTCCTTTATCGTCTTTAGTGTGTAGTCTTTACCCTGATATATTTGAATCCCTGAACCCTGTTTCTGTGATCACAGTAAAGTCTAAATTATCCCTAGACATACGTGGTTGGCAACTGACAAAGCTTGTTACCTAAAGTTTGAGCATTAGTGCACGTCATGGAAAACTGTAATCTTCTGTTTGATTTTTACAGGTGAAACTCGAAAAATTAGAATATTGTGCAAAAGTTCACTTATTTCAGTAATGCAACTTAAAAGGTGAAACTAATATATGAGATAGACTCATTACATGCAAAGCAAGATAGTTCAAGCCATGATTTGTCATAATTGTGATGATTATGGCTTACAGCTCATGAAAACCCCAAATCCACAATCTCAGAAAATTAGAATATTACATGCAATCAATAAAACAAGGATTGTACATAGAACAATATCGGACCTCTGAAAAGTATAAGCATGCATATGTACTCAGTACTTGGTTTGGGCCCCTTTTGCAGCAATTACTGCCTCAGTGCGGCGTGGCATGGAAGCTATCAGCCTGTGGCACTGCTGAGGTATTATGGAAGACCAGGATGCTGCAGTAGCGTTGTTCGGTCTCATGTCTCTTATCTTTCTCTTGGCAATGCCCCATAGATTCTCTATGGAGTTCAGGTCAGGCGAGTTTGCTGGCCAATCAAGCACAGTAATCCCACAGTCATTGAACCAGGTTTTGGTGCTTTTGGCAGTGTGGGCAGGTGCCAAGTCCTGCTGGAAAATGAAGTCAGCATCCCCATAAAGCTCAAAATCTCCTGGTAGACGGTTGCGTTGACCCTGGACTTAATGAAGCACAGTGGACCAACACCAGCAGATGACATGGCTCCCCAAATCAGACTGTGGAAACTTCACACTGGACTTCAAACATCTTGCAGTGTGTGCCTCTCCATTCTTCCTCCATACTCTGGGTCCTTGGTTTCCAAATAAGATGCGAAAGTTGCTCTCATCAGAAAAGAGGACTTTGGACCACTGAGCAACAGACCAGGTCTGTTTTTCTTTAGCCCAGGAAAGACGCTTCTGACGTTGTTTGTTGTTCAAGAGCGGCTTGACAAGAGGAATACGACATTTGAAGCCCATGTCCAGGATCCATCTGTGTGTGGTGGCTCTTGATGCACTGACTCCAGCCTCAGTCCACTCCTTGTGCAAGTCCCCAACACTTTTGAATGGCCTTTTCCTGACAATCCTCTCCAGGCTGTGGTCATCCCTGCTGCTTGTGCACCTTTTTCTTCCACACTTTTCCCTTCCACATAACTTTCTATTAATGTGCTTTGACACAGCACTTTGGGAACATCCAACTTCTTTTGCAATTACCTTTTGAGGCTTTCCCTCCTTATGGAGGGTGTAAATGATGGTTTTCTGCACAACTGTCAGGTCAGGGCAGTCTTTCCCATGATTGTGATTCCTACTGAACCAGACTGAGAGACCATTTAAAGGCTCGGGAACCCTTTGCAGGTGTTATGGCTTAATTAGCTGATTAGAGTGGGACACTTTGAGCCTAGAATATTGCACCTTTTCACAATATTCTAATTTTCTGAGATTGTGGATTTGGGGTTTTCATGAGCTGTAAGCCATAATCATCACAATTATGACAAATCACGGCTTGAACTATCTTGCTTTGCATGTAATGAGTCTATCTCATATATTAGTTTCACCTTTTAAGCTGCATTACTGAAATAAATGAACTTTTGCACGATATTCTAATTTTTCGAGTTTCACCTGTACTACCAAAATCTTTAAAGAAAAAGGAAAGGCTATCTACTAAGTAAGCGTTCAGTGTTGCCTGCCCTCTGCTTTTACTAATAATGGCTTTGTAATAATAAACAGTCACGTAACTTGGCAGCTTAGTGAGAGACAATAAGAGTAGTCATGTCACCCCACTAGTGCCAATACTGTGGACATTGTCTCTCCTCCCACCAACCTCAGCAGCCGGCCAGGATCTGGAGCTAGATAACATATATATAAAAAAGAAGGCTAATTTACACTGCTTCTTAGTAGAAATTTATTTATTTTATTTTAGGTACTTATATAGTACTGTCAATTTACGCAGCGCTTTACATATATATGATGTACATTCACATCAGTCCCTAACCCTCAAGGGGTGTACAATCTAAGGTCCCTAACTCACATTCAAACATACACATACTATGGACAATTTAGACAGGATCCAATTAACCTACCTGCATGTCTTTGGAGTGTGGGAGGAAACCGGAGTACCCGGAGGAAAACCCACGCAGGCACAGGCAGGTGGTGCCATGGTAGGGATTCGAACCAACGACCCTAGTACTGCCAGGCGGAAGTGCTAACCACTAAACCACTGTGCTGCCTGAATGTACTTAGTGAATAGCCTTTCCTTCTTCTTTAACTGCATTAACTACCCCATTAGTTAAGTCTTTAGAAACACAACCCCCCATATTTTTTTTTTACCTTCTAGGGACACAAATGTTCCTTATCAATTAAAATTTTGCCCCCAGTTCTGAATTTAAATTAATGTCCAAAAACTCCTGAATTATATACTATAAGAAAATCGGATGAATGTCTGGTTTTCCTTGATGTTGCACAGCAGGTTGAAACCAAGGATGGTACTAATCGTACTAATATTCTCATGCGACAAAGGGATTTTTTTTTTTGTTTTTGTTTAGTTTCTGGTCTTGCGCAGTCTTTTATATGTGATTTTTCATATCTGATTTTTCTCGTACAAAAACAGTACACATTAACCTCCCTGTCAGTATTCCCGAGTGTAGCTCAGGGTAAAGTTTCAGTACCACAAGCGGTAACCCCGAGCTACACTCAGGCTTACCATGCGGCGCTACTCCAGGATCCCTCGATCACTTACCATGTCCTGCGCTCCCACGATGTCCCTCCTGCAGTGTCCCCTGTAATATCCTCCGGAGGATGCCGGCATCTGTCATCTGGGTTCTGTCCCCTGCGAGCGTCGGGAAGTACGGGGATGGAACTGGCTGGAAATTTGAAAATGACAAACAATGACATTCAATAAATTCAATAAAATCACATAGTATAACATTACTGTATCAAACCATTTCACATACATTTTGTCCCTAGAGTTTTGTCCTGTGCCCTGCCCTCATTTTTACTGTTCTTTCTGCCTGGAAACAGAAATGTCCATGGCATCCAAAAAGTGTCCCTTTAGGTCAAAATCGGTTTTAGAGCAGCTAGAGAACAGCGATAGTAAATTAGAATCACTTGCAGAATTGAGTGATAATGATTCGTGGGGAAATTCGTCATCGAACACTGAAAACGATTCTGCGACTTTGCTCAGTGATGTGCGAACTTGGCGCTATATTTCAAATTTCAGTGTTTTTGGTTTGATTACATTATAGAATTAAATTTAATATTATATTATTAGTTTTTATGATTATTTATTGAATTATAATTTATGATTTCGTGTTTCAAATTTTAACATACCCGGGATGTTAACTAGACTCTTGTTCGGACAGATTTCAGTAAGTTATTCCTAAAAATTACAGGCCTACAATAAAAAAAAATACATATTTCCATGCAAAAAAATGTACCGCTTTGAACACAGAAATATGGACATAATCAGACCGTTAGGGAGGATAAACGAAAATCATTAGTCCTGTCAACATTCAAAAAAAAATTTGGAGTTTGGAAATTTTCATTTGGAAAGTCTGAATCAGATGTTGAAAGTTGTGTGAACATTATATGAAAATCAAACTATTGTTCTGATTTTCTGATAGTGTGTCAGGACCCTTGTGTGAGGGATGCAGACCACCTGCTAACATTATGACCAACATAGTCTAAACATTCAGCTTTACACCATTCTTGGAACTACACATTTAACTCTGCAGTTTAAAAACCTTTCCTTATTCATTAATTATAGACAGGCAAGGCCTCTAAAATGTAAGGGTACGGCCTATATTGCAAAGATCCTGGCCCAAATTATGAAAATCCCTCAAAGAGCATACCAGTAAATATGTTCAATCAATAAGAAACTTGTTTGCAATGTCTCACAAGTAGGTGGCTCATAAATACTGCTAATTCTATTACTGCACAGGTTTTCTAAATAAGGAATATTACTGCAGATGCCATGTACGCTTCTGTCATGGATACTGTCTTGTAAATAACTAAACCACTGATTCAAAAATCTACATCTAATTTGAGTTAATTTTTTTTTTGTCTTGATCACTACCTTTAGCTTCTGAAAATAGTAAAATATGTTTTAAAGCAATTCTGCTGCTAAAATAAGAATATAAAATGAAAGACCCCTGCAAAGAATACTCACCTCTCCCGCTGGCTGTCTATGTCCACCGATCTCTGCAGTAACAAAAAAAACTCAGGCTAAAAATGGTTCAGAATCTGGCACTGTCTAACACTCTCAATTTTTTGGTCCTGTGCCACACCAGCCACCAGTTACTATGTTCTGTAGTTGTATAGGGGGTGGCAGGAAGGAACCACAGCAGAGGCATTTATATACTTTTTCTTTTAAGAACCCTAAGTTTTTCGTATGCGTAATTTTAGCATGATATTTCTGTTTGATTTCCTTATGACCATGTTTTTTTTTTAACATTGTAGGTACTCACCACTTCATAATATCAAAGTGCCTGATGATGGAAAACAGTACCCATCTACATTGCTCCTTACAGCTGATCATGACGACAGAGTTGTCCCGTTACACTCTCTGAAATTTATAGCCACTTTACAGCATGTTGTGGGCCACAGTCCAAAGCAACAGAATCCACTTTTCATCCATGTTGATACCAAAGCTGGCCATGGGGCAGGAAAACCCACTACTAAAGTGATTGAGGAGGTTTCTGACATGTTTGCCTTCATTGCACGATGCCTGAACCTTAGTTGGATTGAATAAATGAAACTGAGCAAGCTTCCATTTTTATACAAGGGCTTTTATGTCACATGAGAAACGTCAATGCGTTTTCCTAGCACATCTTTTTACATCTATCCTTATTACTTGAGGTGAATGGAAATATTTGAATCATGTGGGTATCAAAAATTTAAATAGTTCTTTGTGTTACAATGTTTTTGAGTTTTGATCATGGCTATACTGTAACTTGAAGCATATTTTGTCCACACAACAAATATGAAGTTGAAAACACCTAAACAATAATGGTGCATATCAAATAAAATGATTTTCATTAACGTCACGTTTTATGGTAAACAATTACGTATGGTTCTTAACTTACTTTTCTATTAATGTTTTCAGATTTGTTTTGTTATTCTATAAAATGATGTGGTGTATATTTTGGAAATGATGTAGTATATTCATTCACTTTATTCATGTCCCACGTCCAGCTTGATTATGGAGAATTTACTATTTTAGACCTAATCTGTTGACTGAGTAGTTATGGGGTAGGGGCTACCGCTACAATGATTAACAAATTGGCTATTCTACTTATTGACTGTATCAGCTTGTGTATGTGGCTTTCTGCTTCCTCCTTGCATTCATAAAGGTTTGATTTATACACAAAACAGCTGGATCTTTCAAATGTGGCTTGTATGGCAAGTTCTGTAAAGACACAACACTGAGTTTCCTGTGCTAACCATCATTTTTCCAGGTTATCAATATCTTTGTGGAAAATATCACTAATTTAAGCATGCGTTAAGCTATTTCTGAAAAAAAAGTTTAATAACTTCCCCTTTTCACCAACCCTTCTAACCTAAACTGCACTAACCACCCTACCCCTGCTACTTAACTTCACAGCAGAGCCATGACCCAGTCAATGTTTACATTGTTGGCGATTAAATACTCTTTATCGCTGGCTGAATTGGGCTATCCAGTCTTGACTTGAATGGAGTTGTATACTAAAAGTGCAGCAATGCACAGGCGTGGCCAGTAATGCAGAGAATTTCATTACCAAGGATCCAGACGTGGTGGTGTGAGTGTGTTGGGAGGGGCTTAGTGCATTATAGCTTAGGAAACCTGGGTGTAAAGGTGTCAGATTCGAAAATTCTGAACTTGTCCTTTTAAAAAAATTGAGCCGCAGACATGAAAGAAAATGAAAATGGTAACTCTGGGATGCCTTTTTTTTATTTTTAAACAGGGCGCTGAACACTGCCACAGCTGCAAATATCATCACATGAAACCATATTTAATCATTGCTCTACCATGTAACACAATTTATGTTCAGTTTTTAATACATTAAAAATATTCATACAACTGAAATTTTCAAATGTTTGTTTCATTAACAGAACTGTGGGCTGAGTGCACAGTGGACAGGGCACGCCATAGGAACAGTTAGTATTTTTTTTAACATGGGCCACAATTTTGTTGAATGTATTGATTGTTTCTTAGACAACCAATGGAGTAAACAGGGTCCATATTGCAAAAGACCAAGCTGAGGTCTAGCCAGGAGGATGGTATAAAGACTGTAAATTCATGAACGACTATCATAGTGGGAAAAAACTTGTGACCTGAGATCAGGCTCGAAGGCCAGTGGCTATAGCAGTAAAGAGGTCTATGCATAGTCAGCTGGATGAATACACAAGCAGATCCCCCTAGTGATAATGCAAGCTCACCCAACGTGCACTAAGCGTCTAAGCACTAGTCAGTCTTCACCAGAGCTTCTCAAGGTAGAGATGGGTTTTGCTGCCTGCTAATGCCAGGTTGTGGCCCTCAGGATTGTACCAGCAGGAAGAACAAGCGGGGGTCCGGTAGCAGACAAAGCAGGTTGTGAACAAGCAGAAGTGTAGTCGATAAACAAGCCAAAAGGTCAGTAATGAGTAATAGCTGGAAGGGGTCAGACAGAAGCGCAGTTAATGAACAAGCCAAGGGTTGATAACAAGTGGTAGAGAAGGACAGCAGCAGGTATGCAAGGAGCAAGTTATCGGTTGGAGAGAGCACTATAATCTGGCAAACAAGAAGTGCAAGGACATGGCTTAAATAGGAGGTTCTTGGGAGGAGCAAAAAATTCAATCTTCCAACAGAGACAAAGTACAGTTGTGTTCAAAATAATAGCAGTCAGACATCACTAACCTGATCAATCACTGTTTTTGGTAGAAATTATATTTCTACATGGCAAATAATTTACTAGCAGGTGTAGTAGAGTAATAGAAATCCAACAGACCCAACAGTCATGACATGCATGCTGCTGATTCTGTGTAATTGAATCACTAATTGAAAGGGGCATGTTCAAAATAATAGCAGTGTGGAGTTCTATTAGTGAGGTCATTCATTCTTTGAAAAACAGGTGGCAGTTATTGCCCTTATTTAAGGAAGGAAGGCAGCAAATGTTGTACATGCTGGTTACAGTGCATTTCTCTTTGAAATTCTGAGGAAAATGGGTCGTTCCAGACATTGTTCAGAAGAATAGCCAAAATGGCAAGGACTCAGCAAACAATCAGCTCCAGGAAGATCAAAGAAGGTCTAAAGTTACCCGTGAGTACTGTTACAATTAGAAGACGCCTATGTGAAGCCAAGCTATCTGCAAGAAGCCCCCGCAAAGTCCCACTGTTGAAAAAAAAAGACATGTGCTGAAGAGATTACAATTTGCCAAAGAGCACATTGACTGGCCTAAAGAGAAATGGCGCAACATTTTGTGGACTGATGAAAGTAAGATTGTTCTTTTTGGGTCTAGTGGCTGGAGACTGTTTGTCAGACGACCCCCAAACACTGAATTCAAGCCACAGTACACTGTGAAGACAGTGAAGCATGGTTGCGCAAGCATCATGATATAGGGATGTTTCTCATACTAGGTGTTGGGCCTATTTATCGCATACCAGGGATCATGGATCAGTTTGAATACATCAGAATACTTGAAGAGGTCATGCTGTCTTATACTAAAGAGGAAATGCCCTTGAAATGGGTGTTCCAACAAGACAACGACCCCAAACACACCAATAAACGTGCAACATCTTGGTTCCAGACCAACAAGATTGACGTTATGGAGTGGCCAGTCCAATCCCCGGATCTTAATCCAATAGAAAACTTGTGACATCAAAAATGCAGTTTCTGTGGAATGTAGTCCAATCGTCCTGGGCTGGAATACCTGTTCACAGGTGCCAGAAGTTGGTTGACTCCATGCAACACAGATGTACAGCAGTTCTCAGAAACAGTGCTTATACAACTAAATATTAATTAAGTGATTCAAAGGAAAGCAAAATCTTCAAACATTTTTCAGTTTATATAGTGAATGTTTGAGTTTGTAAAGAAGAATACAAACACTGCTATTTTTTTGAACAGTCTAATATTCTTCAATTTTTTTTAGAGGAACAACACAAATTTGATATATTTTTCTTCATGTTTTAAATTGGGCCCTGGAGTAGAACCACTGTAGGGGGGGGGGGGGGGGGGGCACAAGAACCCGGATTGTGGCTCCTCAGCGGCTGCTGGCTGCAGTTGTCTGAGTTGTGCTGAGCTGAGTGTCTCCCTCACACAGCCCAGAGCTAGTGCTGACAGTTACCCCACACCACACACCACACACACACACAGATAGGAGAAGAGAGAGCTGATCTGCTCCTCCTCCTGCCCTCTCCTGTGCCTGCCCTGTCCACACTCCAATCCCTGGCAGTGCTGTACCTCAGAAAAGCTGATGTGTGGATGGAAAGTTTGAAGCACAGCAGACAGAGGAGGAACGGTGCAGACTATCAATGTGTGAGTGAGCTCACCATCCATACACTGTAAGTGTAAGTCTTCCCCCTCTCTTCTTTCTCTTTCCTGCCTCCCAGTGAGTATACTAATGTAAGAGGGACTCAGATATAAGGGTTGCTCTGCAGACTCTGATGCAAGGGATATTTTGCAGACTCTGATGTAAGTGGAGCGGTGCAAACTCTGTTGTAAAGCAGTCTCTGCATACTCTGATGTAAGGGGAGCTCTGCAGACTCTGATAAAAGGGGGCTCTGTGGACTCTGATGTAAGGGAGAGCTCTGCAGACTGTTCTGTAAGGGTTACTCTGGGGACCCTGATTAAAGAGCAATGTTGGGAACTCAGATGTAAGTGGGGGCTCTGGTTACTAAAGAGTCTGCAGAGTCTCTCCTTACAGTGTGAAGAGGAACTCTGTGAATTCAGATGTAATGGAAAACTCTGCGGATTCAGATGTATAGGGGAACTCTGTGGACTCTGATGTAAGGGGAACTCTTGTGATTAAACCCATATGATTAGAAATGCTATGTAATCAAAAAATACATGTATAGTGTACACTACAAAAAGTATTCAGGTTTGGCTTAAAGAAAAAAATGGCAACCCTACCTAAAACATCAGGGAGGGGGCCCTCTGTGGGACCATAATAAAGGGCCCTGGGATGGTATGGATCGGAGGGGGGGGGGTCAGGGGTCTCTTCATGGTTTCTTGCACTGGGGCCCTGAAGGTTCTAGTTACACCTCTGGGACAGTAGATGGACGTAACTGGGTACCAATGGTTTCTGCCAGTTCTGTGCTGATGGCCCTACTGGACATCTTGTGATATCAAAGGGAAGTAAGCATGATATTTCTTTCATCTGCTGCCTTAACGTTCTTTAGCTGACCATTGAGTCTACAGTCCTCAATGTTGCCCAATCAATGGTGTCCTCAATGTTGAGAAATACAGACAGGTACTTATCTATCATGCCATACCATCAGGGAGGCATTTGATTGACCCCACATTTATTCTGCAGCAGGACAACCACCCCAAACATGTAGTCAATGTAATTTAAAACTGTTTTCAGTATACAGTAAAGAAAAACAAAGAGTGTTGGAAGTGATACTGGGCCACTTCAAAGCCCTGATCTCAACAACATCAAGTCTGTCTGGGGTTACATAAAGAGACAGAAGGATTTGTGGCAGCCTACATCCACAAATGATTTGTGGTTAGCTCTCTAAGATGTCTGGAAGAACCTACCTGCCGAGTTCCTTCAAAAACTGTGTACCCAGAAGAATTGATGCTGTTTTGAAGGCAAAGGGTAGTAGCACCATATATTGATTTGCCTTGGATTTCTCTTCTGTTGATCTCCTTTTTTTTTTTACTCCTATTGTTATTTTCTAAAAGTAAACTTTTAACACTTCTATTTCTGAAAGCTTTCTTAATTTACAGTGTTTTTTCACACCTGCCATTGTGTAGTAGTTAAAATACATTTATTTAAAATATGGTATCTGCTCACATTTTAGGAGAAGTAAAAGGCATATCATAAAACAGCATCAAGCACATCTGCAGGCGTAATGACATCACCTCTGAAACACCAACACAAATATTTAATTCAAAGGGACTAGCGATCCCTTTCTATATGTGATTGCCTGGGTTGAGCCCTATTGGGAATGCTGTGATCCATCTTGTGGTGTGAGCTGGCGGCCTGAAGTCTGCTGAGTGGGGATGCCTGCAGCCATTTGGCAAGTTGCCTGATTCCTGATTGAAGCAGAGCATCAATCCATTCAGTGAGGGTTTTCTCCACTAAGCGCTGTTAGACCTTCTGCACAGAGGTCTAACATTTTTGGTAAGAAGGTTTATCATCCCTCTTAGTAGATAGCACTGTGGTGAAGATTGGAGGCATTAGATATCCACAGCTTCTTTTTTGCTGCACAAATAGACTACTGTGACTTTATGAACTTTCACATTTATTGGGGCTGTTTGAGTTTATCCATTTATTTATTTATTCACTTATTTTCTGATTTGATTTTTTATTTTATATATTTTAATTTATTATTATATGCTCACTGTTATGTATGAATTTTGTGTATCCTATGAATTATTATACAGTGGGTAAAATAAGTATTGAACACATCACCATTTTTCTAGGTAAATATATTTCTAAAGGTGCTATTGACTTGAAATTTTCAACACATGTCAGTAACAACCCATGCAATCCATACATACAAAGAAACCAAAACAAATAAGTTCAGAAATTAAGTTATGTGTAATAAAATAGAATGACACAGGAAAAAGTATTATTATTATACAGGATTTATATAGTGCCAACAGTTTATGTAGCACTTTACAACAAAAGTATTGATCACATGAAGAAAGGGAGCTGTAAAAAGACATGGAAGGCCAAGACACCAGCTGAAATAAATCAGTATTTAGAAAAAAAAATCCTGCCCCTTGTCAGTGCAAATTAATATCAGCTGGTGCAGTCTCAACTGATGGCCTATAAAAAGGTGTCTGATTACCAAGGTGTCACACAAGAAACATTTCATGATGTGTAAAGCAAAAGAGCTCTCTCAAGACCTTAGCAACCATATTATTGCAAAATATACTGATGGCATTGATTACAGAAGGAATTATGTCATGTCATTGAAGGAAGAATATATGGAAAAATGTACCAAGACGTTCTTGATAAAAATCTGCTGCCATCTACCAGAATGAAGAAGATGAAATGAGGGTGGACATTTCAGCAAGACAATGATCCCAAACACAAAGCCAAGGAAACTCTCAATTGGTTTCAAAGAAGGAAAATAAAGCTACTAGAGTAGCCCAACAAATCACCTAACTTGAATCCAATAGAAAATCTATGGAAAGAACTAAACATCAGTTCATAGAAGAGGCCCATGGAGCCTTCAAGATTTGAAAACTGTGTGGAAGAATGGGTCAAAATCACACCTGAGCAATGCATGCAACTAGTTTCCCCATACAGGAGGTGTCTTGAAGCTGTCATTACCAGCAAAGGATTTTGTACAAAGCATTAAATAAATTTCAGTTAGCGTGTTCAATACTTTTTCCCTGTGCCATTGCATTTTATTGCACATAACTTAATTTCTGAACTTTTTTGTTTTGGTTTCTTTGTATGTGTGGATTGCATGGGTTGTTACCAACATGTGGTGAAAAGTTCATGTCAATAGCACCTTTAGAAATATATTTACTTAGAAAAATGGTGCGTTTTCAATACTTATTTTACCCACTGTATGTGCTATTTATATTGATTTGGTTATTTCTTTTGTTTACAAACGATTTTATTTTTCAAGAAATAGACTGTAAAATGACATTCAAAAAGGCACATTCATATAGAGTAAAGAAAAAGTTAAGAGAAGAAGAGAGCATAGAGTTTAAGTACATGAGCAATATAAATAAAGAGGAAGGCAGAGTTATACAACTACCAACAGAGTAAGTCAATCAACCCAAATAAGGAATGTCCTTAGTCATGTAGTAAATGCCTGAGTCTTCCAAACTTCCCATTTTTTATCAAATAAGTGCATCTTGTCCAGTAAAGAATAATTAATTCTTTCCATGAGCATCACAGCATCAACTCTATGTAGAACAGAGACCAATGGTACTGTGATAGATATCCAGTGTAGGGCGGTAGCCCATAGGGTGGATATGCAAATGGTATGGATTAACCTCATAATTCAGTGTGAACCCCCGGGATACGAGCTCCCAATAGGCAGGACTGCATAGTCAGATGCACTGGGTCACCCGCCAGTGCAGAAGCTACCTCAGAGATCTTGTGCCACACCAAGGAGAGAACTGGGCAAGCCCAGAATGTATGCACCAGAGTACTGGCAAGGCCACAGCCCCGGAAGCATAGGTGGGACGTCCCTGGATATAGGGCATGTAGTTTAGATGGGGTATAATACCATCTGGTTAATACCTTGAGGGCTGTCTCACGGACAGAGCGAGATCTAGAGCTCCTACGTATGTTATCCACCATGGAATCATCCTCATCCGAAAAGGTGGTACCACTATCGCTTCCCATTTTTGTCTATATAGAGGGGGTGTGGGAAAGGAGCTAACCAAGAACTGGCGATACAAATCAGAAATAAGACCCTTACCCCTGGGAAAGTCATGGCTAATGCGTTCAAAGAACGAATTATTTGGTTATTTCATGCACTTTTGCACAGCACAACATATTTATTTCTATAACTATTACAGTATGTTGGCTTGGATACGAATGATTGATTTGTGCACTACACAAGATACAATGTTCAGTACATAATCAGACCAAAAAGTAAAAAGGTTTCACACATATGGTGTCGCCATACTCCGGAAGGAGTAGCATAATGTGTTTTGGGTTGCAATTCTAGGTATGTCCTTGGTGTGCCTGGAAAATATCTTATTAAATTGACAACTTTGTGTAAAATTAAAAAAAAAAAAATTCTTTCCGAATTGTCCAAAAGCTTGTGGCAAAAAAATTAAGTCTTCAAAAGACTCACTATGCCTGTTAAAAAATACCTTGTGGTTTTTACTCTCCAAAATGTTGTAATTTTGTGGGTGTTTCCACTGTCCTGGTGCTCCAGGGCCTCCAAAAATGTGAAAGGTAGTCTGTAAATGAGATGCGTAATTTATGTCCCTAGGATGGCTGAAGGTGCTCTTTTGGATTTTGGGCCCCTCTATGTGGCTAGGCTATTGAAAAGTCTCTTTAGAGTGTAATTGTAAGTATGTATATGCTGTGTGTGAGAAATAACTTTTTAACCACTAGCCTACAGGGCACTTATACCCCCTTCCTGCCCAGGCCAATTTCCAGCTTTCAGCGCTGTCACACTTTGAATGACAATTGCGTGGTCATGCAACACTGTACCCATATTACATTTTTATCATTTTTTTGAGACAGATAGTGCTTTCTTTTGGTGGTATTTAATCACCTCTGGGATTTTTATTTTTTCTTAAACAAACCAAAAACCACTGAAAATTTTGAAAAAAAAAGTTTTTTCTTAGTTTTTGTTATACAATTTTGTAAATAAGTGATTTTTCTCCTTCACTGATGTGCACTAATGAGGCTGCAGTGATGGGCACTGATAGGCTGCACTGATGGACAGTGATAGGTGGCACTGATGAGGAGGCACTGGTAGTTTGCACTGATGGGCATTGACAGGCATCACTGATGGGCACTGAAAGGCAGCACTGATACATGACACTGATATATGGCACTGATAGGCAGCACTGACTGGCACTGATGCGCACTGATAGGCGACACTGACTGGCACTGATAGGTGGCACTGATTGGCATTGATAGGTGGCACTGACTGGCACTGATGGGTGACATTAAAAGGCAGCTCAGATAGGCACTGATATGTGGCATTATTGTGCACTGGTATGCACTGATATGTGGCATTGATGGCACTGATGGGCATGACACGTGGCACTGATGAGCACTGACACGTGGCACTTCTGGGGCCACACTGATCATCAGGGCACACTGATCATCAGTGCCCTGATGATCAGTGTACATGTCCCCTCCGCTGAAAGCCGATTACCGGCTCTCCTCTCCTCTTGAGCTGTCATCGTGACAGCTCGAGAGGAGAGAAATGCCGATAACCGGCATTTCCATGTTTACATGTGATCAGCTGTGATTGGACACAGCTGATCACATGACCGAGCCGACATCTTCGGCTCTTTCCGTGATCCGCTGTGTCCGAGGGACACAGCGCACCGGCGATCGCCGCGCTGCCAGCTCCGTGAGCTGCACATGCGCAGTGAGAATGGTAGGACATCATAGGACGTCCTATCAGAACTAGAGAACCACCTTGCGCCTGTCGTACTATAGGGCGGGCGGAAGGTGGTTAAAATGAAAACTTGGTGAAAAATAAATTATTTAATTTTCAAAAAACTAATGTTCCTATGCCATAGGTTAGAAATATCGTATTAATTGATAAAATGTATTTGATAAAAATACATTTTTTTTTCTTTCCTGGGTTTTCCATAAACTTGTGGCAAAAAACATTTTTAAAAAATCTGTTATGCCTTTCAGGCAATACCTTGAGGTGTTGCTTTCCAGAATATGATAATTTGTGGGCGTGTACTGGCCTTTAGGGCCTTCACAAAATGTGATAGGTAGTCAGGAAATTAGATGTGTAATTTATGCTCCTTGAAAGCCTATAAGTGCTCCTTGGAGTTTGGGCCCCTCTATGCATCGAGGCTGTGAAAATGTCTCACATATGTGGTAGATTTATATTCAGGAGGAGTAGAAGAATGTGTTTTGGGTTATAACTGTAAGTATGTCCATGCTGTGTGTGCCACTTGCCCTCCAGAGGATTTACCCCCTTCTTGACCAGGCCATTTTTTGCATTATGGCGCTGCATAATTTTAACTGACAATTGTGCGGTCATGCACCGCTGCACTCAAATGAAATTTACATCCTTTTCCCCACGAATAGAGCTTTCTTTCAGTGGTATTTCATTGCCTGTGCGTTTTCGTTTTTTGCGCTATAAAAAAAAAAAAAAAAGCACTGACACTGTACTAATGTCACTGGGCAAAAATGGGGTTAAAATGTAAAGTGATCAAATTTCAACTGTGTGCTGTGCCAAAATTTATTCACTGTAAGCACAGTGCTTTGCAAAGCCATCCCATAGCAGTGTGCAGGAGCTGGGGAGAGAACTATATTGTTTACAAATGGCGGTATACAGTTCCCTTTTCCATCGGTATAATTTTTGATCACTAGTGCCAGTGAGTAATCACCGACTGGGACCAGGTGATTGACAGCCGCGGCCACGAATACACGCGGGTAGGGCGACACGCGGCTCATGCTGACGCCCCCTACCTATAAATACAAAATCATGCTATATATAATACATGACACTGCGCACTCACTGCCGCCCTAAAGCAGTATATCTGCTATAGGGCAGCAGGAAAGCAGTTAAAATGACAACTGTAGTGAAAAAAAAATATTTAAGTTTTCAAAAATAGCAGTGTGACAATCACGGGAGAGCAACTTCAAAGAACTTACTATGCCTCTTCCATCGGTAAACTCTTGGACTGTGCCACTTTCTAAAAAGGGGATTTGGGGGTTATTGTACTGACCTGGCATTTAGCAGGACCTAAGAAATTAGATAGGCAGTCAGTACATCAAGACTGATCCATTTTCAGATATATGTATCCTAGATTGTAGACTCTATACACAGACTAATTAAGAAACCCCTATTTGTTTTTTTTTTCCAGCAAAATATTGTTTTACTCAAATTTATGGAGAAAGTTTTATAACAGAAACTAAGGAAAACATTTTCCTTTTCAAAATTGTTGGTCTTTTTTCCTTTATATAGCAAAATAAAAAATAAAAAAAAAGTTGTGATTATCCTCTTGGCATCAGTGCCTCCCAGCCCTTTAAGAGGTTTCAGATTCTGGGAGATGCAGCAGAGTTTCTGATTATTCATTAGCCGTCGGTAACTATGCCGGGAGCTCACGGGGCATGCGCTCTGGGCACAGCTCTGGTTATCTTTAGGTACGTATATACACTATATTGCCAAAAGCATTGGGACACTCCTCCAAATCATTGGATTCAGGTGTATAAAATCAAGCACCTAGGCATGCAGACTGCTTCTACAACATTTGTGAAAGAATGGTTCGCTCTTAGGAGCTCAGTGAATTCAAGTGTGGTACTGTGATAGGTTGCCACCTGTGCAATAAATCCATCCATGAAATTTCCTTTCTACTAAATATTCCATGGTCAACTGTTAGCGGTATTGTAACAGAGTGGAAGCAACTGGGAATAACAGCAGCTCAGCCACAAAGTGGTAGGCCACAGAAAATGACAGAGTGGTCAGCGCATGCTGATTGCACAGTGCGCAGAAGTCGCCACCTGTCTGCAGACCAATAGCTAAAGACCTCCAAACTTCATGTGGCCTTCAGATTAGCACAACTACAGTGCCTAAAGAGCTTCATGGAATGGGTTTCCATGGCCGAGCAGCTGCATCAAAGCCTTACATCCAAGCCTTACATCACTAAGTGCATCGGATGCAGTGGTGTAAAGTAAGCCACCATTGGACTCTACAGCAGTGGAGACATGTTCTCTGGAGTGACCAATCATGCTGCTCTGGTAATCTGATAGACGTGTCTGGGTTAGGCGATTGCCAGGAGAACGGTACTTGCCTGACTGCATTGTGCCAAGTGTAAAGTATGGTGGGCAAGGGATTGTGGTGTGTGGTTATTTTTCAGGGGTTGGGCTTGGCCCCTTAGTTCCAGTGAAAGCACTCTTAAGGCTTCAGCATACAAAGACATTTTGGCCAATTTCATGCTCCCACCTTTGTGGGAACAGTTTGGGGATGTTCCCTTCCTGTACCAACATGACTGCGCACCAGTGCACAAAGGAAGGTCCATAAAGACATGGATGAGTGAGTTTGGGGTGGAGGAACTTGACTGGCCTTCACAGAGTCCTGACCTCAACCCGAAAGAACACCTTTGGGATGAATTAGAGCGAGACTGCAAGCCAGGCCTTCTTGTCCGACATCAGTGCCTGACCCCACAAATGCCTTCTGGAAGAATGGTCAAACATTCCCATAGACACACTCCTAAACCTTGTGGACAGTCTTCCCAGAAGAGTTGAAGCTGTTAATGCTGCGAAGGGTGGGCCAACTCAATATTGAACCCTATGGACTAAGACTGGGATGCCATTAAAGTTAATGTGTGTGTAAAGGCAGGCTTCCCAATACTTTTGGCAATATAGCGTAGATAGCCTCTCAGCATTAAGGCCCACCCGCCGAGAGGCCGCATATAGGGTATAGCCAACTGGAAGAAGTTAAATACCACCAAAAGAAAACCCTATCGGTCTAAAAAAAATGTTGGATAGAGTGTTGTATGCCTGAGTAATTGTCATTCAGAGCGTGAAAACTGAAAAATCGCTTGGATTGTAGGGGAAGAAAACAGTCTGGACTTGAAGTAGTTCAAGAAATATTGAATCAAATAAAATATCAGACATGCCATGTGAAGATGTGTCTTTTTTTCTTGATTTTGGATTAACACGGTATTCATCCATGACATTTATTCACAAATGGTTTTAGCAGAAAATCACAAATACAAAAGAACTGTAAAGAACTTAGCAAACAAGAAAGAATAGCAAGGTATGTGTTCCCTCTTAAAATATTAAAGAATATAAAGAAAAAGAGACAGAAAGTATGGGGGAAAAAACGAGTCCCTGGGGTTCTAAGTTCTCTTGAGTTTTGTGAGTAAGAAACATTAGATCCAAGGGGACTATACCTTTTCATGTAGTTTCTATTAATCCTTGAAACACGTGGTAAATGCATAAAGACATCAATCAGAAGTCTTTGACTTAAACACATCAGATATGACCAAGAGAGACTTGGAGGATATTGTCTGTTGTCTGAGCTCAGTGCTAATTGTAATCAGTCTTCTGGGGTGCTGCAACAGAAGATTAAGCTATAAAACTGTCATATAATCAAGATACTGTAAGATTTACAAGAAGCAAAACTAAAGGCTTTGTTATCTGACAGTTTTATGATCACTTCCCTAAATGATTGTAAAGGCAAAACGTTTTTTTGCCTCAAAGCATTCTCTTCATTAAGGTAAAAAAAAAAACTTTCGAAAGTTGCTCCCCCCAACCCTTCTTCAACATTTACCTGAGGCTAATCTTGATCCAGAGATGTACCTATCTGCAGCAGCAGCTAATCTCTGCTCTCTCTCTTCTCACAGGAGACTCTGCAGCAGTGGGAGCCATTGGCTCCTGCTGCTGTCAGTCAAATCCTGTGAGGAGGAAGTAGGGAGCGAGGGCAAGCCACATTGTGTGTCTATAGAAGCACAAAGCCTTTCTCTGGAGCGAGCCTGAACAAGTGCCCCCATAACAAGTGCCTTGCTTTGGGGGCACTCAGAAAAGAGGAGAGTCAGGAGCACTGGTGGGGAACCCCAGAAGAGGAGGTTCAAGGATGCTGTGTGTAAAATCATTGCACAGAACAGATAAGTATAACATGTTTGTTGTTTCAGAGAAAAATAATCTTTACAATCACTTTAAGCTGGCCATGCATATATTAAACCTTGGCTGGTTCAGCAGGGATTGGCCCAATTTCAATCCATGTGTGGCAACTGTGGTTGAACAGAAGTCGATCTACCAACTGATTTCTGTTCAAACGCACTGTCAGATAAAAGCAATAGGCTACAGCACTGATCTGTGTATTCTGATAGAGGGAGATTCCCCACACTGTCAGAATACAATAGCATAGCGGGAAGGATTCCCCTATCCATCCTGACTATGTGGATGGAAGAATTGGTTCAGTTTTTTTGCTTCAACCCCAAAACTGAACATGTATGACCAGCTTTAGCTACAAAAGCCCAGAGAAGGTCTGTGTTCATTTCAGAGCTGAGCAGGAGATAAGACAACTTCTCTGGGGATTCACAGTTAACTTTAGGGTTCAAACTGATGTGGTGCGGAATTCGCAGTGTTTTCTGTGCGAATTCTGCACCACATCAGGATCTCACCTTGTTCATGCAAACCGATGCAGGTGTGTATGTTAAGTTAACAACACCCCGAAAATAGTCTGCAAAATGCGGTGCTATGTGCAGAATCAGATCACATAGGTGTGAATACCTATGCGATCCGATTCTAGTGACGACCCAAAAAAGGGTCCTGCACCTTTTTGGTGTGGGTGCGGTGTGATCTGAGCCATACATAATGTATGGGTCCAATCGCACCACACACAAATTGCATGTGATTTGC